TTTTTTTTGCAGAGCTGGGGCGTGGGGCAGGGAGTGGTCTTGCTATGTTGCCCAGGCTGGTCTCGAACCCCTGGGCTCTAGTGATCCTTTCACTTTGGCTCCCGAAGTGCTGGCCTAAACTGGCGTAGCCTGGGTCCAGTTTAGGTAGGACGAAACAGGCATTGGTGTCAAGAGCATGCCACTTTGTTTTGCCCTAAACAGAGCAGCTCTGTTAGGGGGTGTTATCATCTGGAAGATGAGGAAACTGAGGCCTCCAGAGAGCGGGTGGGGAGTCCAGTTAACAGCCCCTCGACCGTGCTCCGGGGCCTGCTGACCCGCCGGCTGTGTCTCCGCAGGTGCAGCTCCAGGGAGACCCCTTCGGGCTGCCCGGCTTCTCCCCGCCGCGGCTGCCGGTAGCCGGCCTGAGCGCCCCGGCTCCGAGCCACGCGGGGCTGCCGGTGCACGAGCGGCTGCGGCTGGACGCGGCGGCGCTGGCCGCGCTGCCCCCGCTGCTGGATGTCGTGCGCCGCCGCCAGGCCGAGCTGAACCCGCGCGCGCCGCGCCTGTTGCGCCGCCTGGAGGACGCGGCGCGCCAGGCCCGGGCCCTGGGCGCCGCCGTGGAGGCAGTGCTGGCCGCGCTGGGCGCCGTCAACCGCGGACCCCGGGCCGAGCCCCCCGCCGCCGCCGCCGCCGCCGCCGCCGCCGCCGCCTCCGGGGTCTTCCCCGCCAAGGTGCTGGGGCTCCGCGTGTGCGGCCTCTACCGCGAGTGGCTGAGCCGCACCGAGGGCGACCTGGGCCAGCTGCTACCCGGGGGCCCGGCCTAAGCGCGGCGGGGCAGCTCGCGCAGCCTCCTCCCTCCGGACTCCGTCTCTCTCTCCGCTTCTTTGTCTTTCTCTGCCGCTGTCGGTGTCTGTCAGCTCTCGGCTGTCTCCATTGCTCGGCCTTCTTTGCTTTTTGTGGGGGGAGGGGGGAGGAGAGGGGACGGGTCTGTCGCCGAGGCTGGAGTGCGGTGGTGCGATCCCAGCACTGCAGCCTCAACCTCCTGGGCTCAAGCCATCCTCCCGCCTCACCTCCCGCCTCAGCCTCCCCAGCAGCTGGGACTACAGACATGCGACCACAGCCGGCTTTTTTAAGTTTTATAGAACTAAGGTCTCGCCATGTTGCCCAGGCTGGTCTTGAACTCCTGGGCTCAAGCGATCCTCCCGCTCCAGCCTCCCCAAGTGCTGGGATTGCAGGCGTGAGCCACCGCCGCGGCCTCTTTATGCTTTGCCTCCCCGGTTCTCTTAACTCTCGAGACCTCCTCGTGTCTATGGTAACTCCGTCTGGGTCTACCGTTTTCTCGCTCTTGCTCCTTTCTCTGCATTCTTGGGCCTACCTCCGTCTCCTTTGGCCTCCCCCTTTACCCAGCTCTGGGGGGTCTCTGTCTTTCTCCATCCCCACCTCCTCTCTCCCCGTGGCTCCGTGTGAGTGCCTGTGAACATCTCAGCCTCATATCAAGGAGGTGACACCTTGTCTCCTGTCCCCCGCTGGCCGTCTCTCTGTGCTTTCCTGGCCACGGGTGTGCCTGCTGGTCCTGAGGGGGGGAAGGCTACTCCGTGTCTCAGCCGCCTTCCGCGGGCTCACTTCACCCATATCCTCAGTCTCCCACACCCCATCCCTTTGGGCCTCAGCCCTGTCCCTTTGATGTGTTCCCTTCCTTCAGCCCCTCTGCCCTATTCCTGCACACCTCCACCTTCTCCCACCAGATCTGTGGAGACAAAACAAACAACACCTTAAAAGAGTTTTATTTCTGAAAAATAAAATTAATTTTTTGTAAATAAAATGTTTAAAAATAAAAAGGAAACTAAAGTTACCTGCATATATAATTGTTGGAAACAGCTTTAGGGAGAAAAGAACCCTTGGGGTGCAGCCTGGTCCCCCAGACATGCCCAAAAAGCCCAGTATAAATAGGAGGTTGACAGCCCCAGGGCAGCTGTGCCCTCTGTCAGCCCAGAACAGGAAGTGGATGTGTCCCAACAGGAAACAGGTGTGATGCAGTCCTTAGTTCTTCAAGAATTGGTCTTCCACGGATCAGGAAGTGGAGCCCCTGAGGACAGGAAGTGAAATAGTAGCCCCAGACAGAGAGACCAACGAGGGGAGCCAATGAACTTCAACAGGAAGAAGGGAGGCCTATCTGCTCAGAAAGGCGGCATCTTCATAGAGGAAATGAGGTAGACGGAGACAGGAAGGCAGTCCTGACCTCCCCAAAATTACCAAAAGGAGAAGGTCTCAGGGAGAGCCTAGGAAGGGGACCAACTGTCCTCTCCCTGTTGGGTGGCAGGTGAAATATCTTTGGAGAGGCACGTCTTTCCAACCAGGAAGTGGACCCCAGTACCACTGGATGGGTAGCCCATGGAATGATGTCCATGGAGATTGATCCAGACCTGGAAAGCAGGCCAGAGGACCTGGGCAGGAAGGCCCCCGAAATAAGGAATTGAGGCTTGGCTTCCAGGAAACATTCCCAGACATGGCACCCAAGCCCCGTCTGCTAGACAAGCTGTATCTCCTTCTCTAGCCCACAAACAAGGCAGAAAAGAGGCCATTATGAAACAGGAAGTGCTGCAGCCTCTGACAGGAAGTCCTGCCCCTCTATGCTGGGTACCTGGCCTTGAGCAGAGCCAAGTCCCTCACAGCACGGTCTGTCCAGTGGCCATATTCCCGGGTCACCACGTAGCCTCGACATTTCCTCTCGAAGGCTGAGGCCCCAAAGGCAACAAGCCTGAGAGTATCCTCTTCTGGGGGGATCGGCAGCCCCAGGGCCATCATGATAGCAGCCATGTTGCCCAGCAAGCCTTGAGCCCTGAGTCTCGCAGCCCTGAGCTGAGCCAGCAGGATGGGACTGCCAGGGTTCAGGTCGCTCTGGTCGTCCCCCACGAGCTGGAGGTGCTGGGTCAAGGCCAGGAAGGCCCCCTGGGCAAGGCTCAGCCATTCCCCGTCATCCAGGGCATGCCAGGTCTTGAAGAAGGCCGTGGCAGGAGGCAGGCTGCTGAGCTGGAGCTCAGGGGCTGAGAAGCCAGGGTCACTAAAAGGGCTGCCCTGGTACTGGAGCTGCAGGAGGGACAGAGACAGACAAGAATAAGGAGACCGGAGCGGTGCCTAGGGCTCTGACTTCATGCCTGCGCGCCGAGACTGGCTTCTTCCCAGGAGTCACCACTTGCTGCCTCTCACAGGGCTGCTGGGATGTCCTGACACAGGGCAAGGGCCCTAGGAGGCTCATGCTAGCTTTGCAGCGTGGTGTCACAAGCTTCAGGAATTCCCACCTGGCAGTATTATTAAGATGATAGGAAATCATATATATAAAGCACTTAGCAGGCTGGGCATGGTGGCTCACGCCTGTAATCCCAGCACTTTGGGAGGCTGAGGGGGCAGATCACTTGAGGTCAGGAGTTCGAGACCAGCCTGGTTAAC